GAATTCACTCACTTCACCTTAAAACAATAATTCACCTAAAAATACAAATTTGGGCATTACTTTCTCACACTTATTTTGTTCCAAACCTGTCTTACTTTCTTTCTTTTGCAGAACACAAACAAAAATATTTAGAAAAATGTATCTGTGGGTTGCTTTGGCCATACAATGAAAATCAAAATGGTCCAGTGTTATTTTAGACCCCAGTGACTTTTTGAAAATATCTTCTTTTGTATTGTACTGTACAGAACAAAGAAAGTCATACAGGTTTGGAACAGCATGAGTGAATGATTTTCTACTTTTGAAGTATCTCTTTAAATGCATTGCGAACGACATACAGAATTTGTGGCACGTGTGCTCAAACATGTCACTGGAATACACAAGTTCCCTGCAGGCTTATGTTGTGGTTATTTTGCACCTGCATTCAGGCATCCCATGCTAAATAACTCTGCGCTGAGCTCAAGAGAAGAGGCTTTATCCCTGCTGTTAACACCTACACAGCTGCTCAGACTGACCTCTGCTTGAGTCATCTGTCAGATACTGCAGATAAGAATAAACGGTCTTGCTCAGGGCTGCTGAGATGGAGACTTGGGTTTCATCCCTGCCTTCAGTTCCTTCTGGGTCTGAATCCAAAACAGTCAAAGCTTTTTCAGCTTGTATTTTTAGTAAGGTTTGGATTTTAGGACACCTGATATGTGTGGTGCAAACTCTGTTCATCCACCCATCAATCAATCAGCCAACCAACCAAATGTAAATCATTAAATGAATAGAGGTCTCAGGCACCAGAATATTGTAGAGACTTTAGTATTATGGAAATAAAGTAAAAATGGACACAAAATATTTTCTTAATGCATGTTGTTTAATGTGCATCCATGCATACAGCATATTAGTGTTCCGAAATTTGGGATCTAAAATAAAACCCATTCACTGCAGAGGATCCATTGGTGAGCAAGTGATGCAATATTAGAAACAGACTTATCTACATTTTGGATGACCTGAGGGTAAGTACATTTTCATTTTGGGGGGATCTATTGCTTTAATGCATCCCAAAGGATCTTGTATACTATTTAGAACTGATGACATGTGAATTGGAACACAGTCTATATTATCAACAGATTTGTAAAGGAGATACAGTATGGTGTAAATGTGAAAGAACAAAGAATACTAAACACAGAAAAAAAGTGGAGAAATCTATGGCCAGACAGCCTTCATGAACAGGAGAACATCTGTGACCTCCCACACGACTGTCAGCCTGAATCACATCTCCGGTCGCCGGAGGTTCTGGGAAGGTGATAACCTGAGCGCCCCTCCTGTACTTTACAGCACATACAGCTGCTATTGTTTTAGCGTGTCAGTGTGTCCTATTGCACTCACACAGGTTGTCAGATTACTGCAAAGCCGGTGAATCAACAAGTCCCTCTCATCAGAATGTCATCAGTGTAACACTTTACACACCTCACCTGTAATTACCTCATGCACCCCCTCCACACACACACACACACACGGGGTTTGATGGAGTGTGATGACGAGAAATGTGCTGAACAACAAAAACAGGAGAAAAAGACTAACTAGATTTTTATTGTTCTAATTTTCAGAAGAATATTTTTTAGGCAAAAAATTAGGTAAATATTATAAACACTTCCATTCAAAAGTTTGGGGTCTGTATGATTGTTTTTAAATAAATTAATACTTTTATTCAGCAGGAAAAATATAGAAACTCTTTGGTCATTTTTGAGCGAGATGCTAACGGTCTAATCAGATTCAATGATCTATGCTAAGCTACAGCTAAAAGTGCTACCGCTAGACCCGGAGATCGGCTGAATGGATTCGAAAATGGTAAAACTCAACTGTTTAACTAGGGGAGTTGGAAAATGAGCCTATTTTCAAAAATAGTGGAGTGTTCCTTTAAATCCACATTATATTATGTATAATATATAATAATTATTTGCTGAAAAAGCATGGATATATATGCATGTTTTTTTTCAGTGAATATTTACTATTTATATCATGTTTTCCCCAAACCTACAGTATATACAGATATTCACTGAAAAATCATGCACAATCCTTTTTTTTCTTTTTTTTAATAGTTTTTGACTGCACATTTTCTTGTTGTATCCTTATGAAGTATGTACAGGTGCATCTCAATAAATTAGAATGTCGTGGAAAAGTTCATTTATTTCAGTAATTCAACTCAAATTGT